AAAAAAAAAATCCCATTTCTTGGTGATCAATAAATGAACTTATCAGCCAACAGTGGTCAACAAAGCAAAAGTAACGTTAAATTCGTTTTCTAACCTGATACCGATATAAAAAGTGGTACTGATAGAGCTAACAAGAGCAGCATTACGAGGTACCTGCAAATGCGGAGCACTGATAAAACAACAGTTACTATTACCATCTTATAACGCATGCCAACAAAACCGGATCCGTTTTTTACGTGAATATTTGCAGACACAACAAAAAAAAGAATTTAGACAAAAAAATAGATAAAGGAGCAATATTTATCAGATGTAAAAGCATCTTCATGTAACAGTATAAATGCTTCAACCTGTCAGCATAAATGTTTTTTTATTAGTAATTGAAATTTTAAAATTCAGTTACATTTTTAATCAAATTTTTGGCTCCATATGCATATCCATTCTTCTTCTGTTTATTTTTTTTTTAAAACATCAAATGTGAAAAACTTGTAAATACAATATTAGTGAGTAACTTTTTGCTTAAATAAAGTGCAGTAGATAATCACAGAAACAAAACTTTAAGAGACGTATAGTCTAAAGTATGCTTGATCTATAGACAGATTTTCCTTACAGTTGTAGTCTGATAACAAAGGTTTTTTTTTTAAAACTAATATTAGTAGTCAACCACCAAACTTACAAAATATTTTGATACAGTAATCTTCTGGTTAAACATTATTTATTTGGTGACAAAAAACCGGAAGTTTGAAGAAAGTGTTAAATGATGTTTAAAATCGTGTTGTTAACCAACAACATAAACTGTACACATAAACGTTTGCGGTAACTCTTCAAAATTCTCAAGAATTTGAAACGGTTAAACCAAGACTCACTTGAACAATCTTATCCATCAAAAATTTCAGACTAAAATTTAAGAATTGATTCAGTGGCAGAAGAGAAAGAATACGAAAAAAGATAAAACTGTAAAAGAGAAGAAGAGAAAGTTTAAACTTTAAATCTGTTCACCTTTACCGTCTGTTATTCATGCGGTTTTCCCAGTATACTAAGAAGAGAACAAACAAGAAGTCTCAAAAAAAAATCGTTTTTGATTTATCTTTTAGAAAATTCTTTAGCTATATTCTGTAAGGTTATCCTACCGAAAAAAAAATGATAAATTTTCTTTCCTAGACCGCTAACGTTTAACCTTTCCTTTAAAAAAGACTCTTTTAGCATCTCCTTTTCCTTCCGGTCATCCAATAGCTTCAAAATACAGCTGGGTATTACTAATCCAGCAAATCAGACAGAACTAATAAACTTACAATAAAAGAATATCAAATTTATTAAAATAAGATTTTGAAAATAAAAAAAAACGAAGAAAGTGCTGCGAAAAATTGTTCTTTTTTTTCAAGAAGACATTACATTTCCAATAGATTCAGCATTACCAAGCATGAAAAAAAAGAAAAACAGCTTCTCTTTCCACGTATTATTCAGCTGTAAGTTTTTGAAAATCAAAGTTGAATGTTAGAAAATGTTTGATAAAACAGCAGACAATCTTCTGCTGGATAAAAAATGAATTCTAAAGATTGAAAAAAAAAAAAAGAATTTTTTTTTTTTTATTTCGCAATATTAGTGTTTTTGTAATAGTATACAGACAGAGCAGTAAGTTATATGTAGTTTTTGTTC